CTCGCTCGCTCCTTCCATCTCTCGCCTCCTCTTTTTACTCCGCGCTTACTTCTTCCTTTCGTTCCTTCCTTCGCTCCTTCGCTCCTTCGTTCCTTCCTTTCCGACTGCCCGGCGTGTACGCCGAGAGAGACGTCGACCACTTCAAGGACGACGATCGTGCCGATCGATCAAGTCGCTGGATCGCCGCGCTAACTCCGACCGAGCGATATCTCTCTTTCTCTTCTTCTCCCCATCCCCCCTCTCCTTTCCCACTTTCCCTCCTTTTCTCTTTCGCCCGATCCCTCTTTCCCTATCCCTCTCGCGCCCGCGATCTTTGAAAAACCCCACCGCGTGATCCTTGCGCGCGTGTAGGACGCGCGTTTCAGCCTTTTCTAATTTTGCTCGTCGCCAGAAAACGACCCAAGCTTTTCGATTCGAAATAATAATAAATATAATCGTAATCGATCAACGAATGAAAGGATATATCCTCTCTCGTCGTTGAATCGAATGCAAATATCTGGAAAATCATCCGTTCCGTCCGAATGCTTCCAATTTTCGCTAGTCTCTCGTAAGAGGTCACGGTTGATCGGCCTATATAAATACGAACGAACGAACGAACGAAGAAACCGGTTGAAATTCGTGCGTCGATACGTTGATCCACGAAACGAGGTCGGCGTTCGACACTCGTGTCCGAATACGTAACGAAGCGAAAGAAGGTGTGCGCGCGTGCACGAGACACGCGAAGGAACGAAACGGAACGAAACGGAACGGAACGGGACGGGACGGGACGGAGAGGAACGGAACGGAACGAAACGGAAGAAACACGAGGCACGAGATCGTTGGTGGTGGTTTGCGGCCGGTTCGATACGAAACGAAACGAAACGAAACGATCGACAAGCGCGATTGTTGTTCGGTTCACGCGGACTGGTTGCTACATATCGGAAAATACGCTCGCGGGTGGCTACTTTGGGCGCGCTTGGCTCACGGTAACGGCGTCTGCCGGAGGCGCTTTAACAAAGGCGCGCTCGATGCAACGGGGATCGACGGAAACTCGACGCGTGTCCCCTTTATTTTTAATCTTTGCTTTAAATCACCGAGCCGCGCACTCGCGACACGCGTCGATGCTGTATTCGCAAATATCGATTCTGAAAAGCGCCGAACAATGCCGCTTATTTTCTGTTTTCAATGCCCATTGTGTCAGACCCGTTGCTGGACAGCAACCGTGTGCCTTCTCTCTCTCTCTCTCTCTCTCTCTCTCTCATTCTCTTCCGCTCTCCTCTCTCCGCCACCTCGCTTCTCGTTTCTCTCCGTTATTTCTCTCTCTCTTTCTCACTCTCCCTCTCTCTTTCTCTAGGCGTTGCGCGCCTCGCCTCGCCTCGCCTCGCCTCTCCTCGCTTCGCCTCGTCTCGCCTCGCCTCGTCTCAAACCTCGTCCGCAAACAGAGAGTCGCTTTCGATTTTTCATTCGGCAAACCGTATTTCTTCCGGGCTTCTGGCCAATTCTTCGCCACGCGTTCGTTATTCCCCGATACATCGATATCGGTGAAACCTACCGGTAATCGGAATCTCGGACGGGAGAGGTATTTATATATATATATATATATATATTTCTTAATACACACGTATATATGCCGCTCGCATTAATCGACATCGCGCGTCGATCGTATCTGTAAATGTATCCGATTTGCGTACACTTTATGCAAATTGGATAAAAACGTGGCGGTTAGCATTGCAAATATAAAACGCGGCAACGATGCGGCTTCGATGCGTTTCAGTCTTGGGGAAAATTTGCTTGCCGCGGCGTTGAAACCGGACAGAAATGAAATCTCGGGGAATTGGACACGATATATGCTGTAACGAGCCGTTAAGTTGCAAATGAACGCGTACTTACGGGGCGCGATATTACGAAAGCGAATGTGCAGTAACCAGACGATGTTGTCGCGCGCAAAAATACATTGTGTATATATATATATATATGTATATATATGTATATTCCCGTCGTTTCTTCCTCTACCAACGGAGGACGACAAGTGTAAACGCGCACCATAGTCTACAGCGGTTATAACATACCGTCCCGGTATACGCGGGGACGCGTTTTAATTACGGGACGGCCAATTGCCGCCGTTTTCAAATTCCGTTTAATAAATATCGTCTAAATTCGTAAAATTCGGCCGCGAATTTACGCGATTTCGTGTTTTGTCATTCGATCGAATCGAATCGAAGAAAGAAGGAAAGAAAGAAAGAAAGAAAGAAAGAGAAAAAGGAAAATTTTAACGCGAACGCGAGAGTTGTTTTTTCTCTTTCTCTCTCTCGTTGCCGAGGGATTATCGTCAATCTATCGTACGTATCCATCCTCGTACGTACGAATTCGAGTCGATCGAATAAATTAATAGATGTTTTCGTTTCGGTGAAATGTAAAAATCTTTCTTTTTTTTTTTTTTTTTTTTTTCATTTCATTTCATTTCTCCCAATATATACGTTACGATAATCGAATTTACAACACGCGCTTTTTCGACGATATCTCCCCCCCCCCATCTTTGTACTTTGGCTGTACGCGTTAATATTTCCGACAGACAATCGCGTTTGTCACGACCGCGGTTAATTGATTTTGTTGGTCGGTCGGAACGCGCGCGGTATCGAATTTTCTGAAAGAAAAAAAAAAAAAAAAAAAGGTTAACATCGAACCCCACGTCACCAACGCGTTTCGTCCAAGGGTGGGTGCCCGGCCTTTGCGGCCGGTGTCGCCTGTGTAATTTACATGCGAATGCGCGCCACCGCTTACGTTACACCGCCGTTTACAAATAACCGCGAGCCGGCCTCGTTTACGAATCAACGGCTACGAAACTTTTGCAAGTTCGTAGTTACGAGGCCGTGCCCGTTTCGTTTCGTTTCGTTTCGTTCCGTTTCGTTTCGTTTATCCGTTCTCGGGGGACGAGAAGGGAGGAGAAGGAGGAGAAGGGATGGTTTCGATCGAAAGTACAAAGTAGCAGAGATGGTTCGTGGAACGAGGTTGAAACGGCGGGAAAAGGCGGAGGGGCGGAG